ACAGCAGAAGACTTCTGAACTTTCCTGGAAATTATTATATTGCCCTGTCTTAAGTGTGTTCAATATAAATTTGGTTCAAAACGAAGGTTACCTAAAATACTTAAAATTTTAGAAAACTGTAGGGAGCCACCTTAAATGTCGGACCAATTTTTGGCTTGGCCAGACATTTGTCCTTCCAAGTAAAATAATTATTTGCAGGCCTGACTTGTTTGCGCGGATTCACTTCAAATTAGTATAGGTAATCATGCGATAGCGAGTACAATTAGGGATTAATAGTACGAGTGATGTTTGGAAATTTTGCCAAAATTGGACGAGCCGCCTACTTGTTTATTATTAGCATGACAAAATTGGATACTTTTCAATGTCAACATTATATTCTTTCGCCAAAGCCCAGTCCTGCCATACTTTCAACCAAAATCTTGTGCTTTTGTTCGTATTTTCATTTAGTTCTTTTGTTATAGCAAAATTTGTTGCTTTTGTTCGTCTTTTCATCTAGTTCCTCGAGGGCAATTTCATTTCACATCTGTGTTTAAAACACCTTTCCGCTATTTTGTTTGTTTTGGGAAAATCATTTATTGTACTGCAGTACAATTAATGAAATAATGGTACTCCTCTCAATCAATCAGCATCCAGTAATTTTGTCATGCTAATAATAAGGAATGATAAACCTACCATTTATTGACGATGTCTTCGGATGAACACAATGACTCGAACCACAGATGAAGGCATTGTTCACTAGAACGAAAATGGCAAATATGAATGCCTTGAGCATTGCTCGAACGAACTTTTCTCATTTTGAACTTTTCTCATTTTGAAGTTTTCTCATTTTGAAGTTTTCTCATTTTGAAGTTTTCTCATTTTGAAGTTTTCTCATTTTGAAGTTTTCTCATTTTGAAGTTTTCTCATTTTGAAGTTTTCTCATTTTGAAGTTTTCTCATTTTGAACTTTTCTCATTTTGAACTTTTCTCATTTTGAACTTTTCTCGTTTTGAACTTTTCTCATTGGCATGGTAGAAAACCCGGGTAGCGGATAACCGGATAACCGGATAACCGAATAGTATATAGAGATTTTTTCATGGGAAATACTTACGTGTGGTATTTACGCACGCGTGATAATCTGTTTTCGCAAATTAAACGAACGAGCGAGTGCAAAATTTGTTCTTCATAGACGATACAGAGTTTATTTATATTACACAGCGAAAAATATAAAGGTTTATATGTTTTATAAAGCGAGACAATCAGATAAACAAAGTCGTGTCGTACAAAAATACATCGGAAAATACAAATTTTTCAGTATTAATGAACAGGAAAGGAAATATCAATTTATTATTATTATTTACAAATATTTTAAAACGGTAGCTCTTCAGAACACCTATGATCCGTTTTTCAAGAGGCCGTTTAAACTAATTTTTACAAAGTTTAATAAAAATTACATCTAAAATATAATATAATATAAATTATCACACAGTTAAAGTCTAAGAGAATATATACAAAATATTGTGTCCCATCGTCATTTCTTTTGAATCTCATTTGGCAAATTATTCCAGCATTTTGCCCCTGAGTAGCTAATACTTTTTTTGAGGAAATTAGTCTTCGGTTTATCCAGTTGAAAATTAATTCCGTTATTTCTAAGGTCATATTTTTCATTATTAGTAGGCCTTTCCCGATTGCGCTGAGCACTTTTTGAGCACTTTTTCTTGTTTGGAGCACCATTTTGCATGTTGAGCAACGTTGAGCACTTTTTCGCACTTTGGGCAACATTTGAGCAATATTTCACATTTCGAGCGAATTTTGAGCAACAAAAAGTCAGCGATTATAGAATTCGATTCGTACCTCGATTAACTAAACATACAGTTCGGAGTAAGGTTTAAAAATTGACGGGTATTATACTATTATTTTATATATAATTTAGGTATAACTCC